AAGGAGGAGGCTACAATGCTTGATAAGAAATGTACTCATTATCTTGCCCATGTAATTGTAACCCCTCTGTATGGTATTTTCACAATAAAAAAAAAAAAAGAAAGTAGACATTTAAATCACCTTGAAATGCTACCTTGCTTCTCTCATCTTCGGCTGGCAGGACACACATTTCATCTAGTACACACAGAGAAACACCCACTCATTTAGAACTAGACTAAACTCCCTAAGCACTTGGCTCTTAAGAGTGTTCTGAAAATTTCCATCTTTAGTATATTCTGGAATGCCGCCATTTTCTCACAACATGCTGAGTGAACACCAGATGACACTTTTGAGAATGAGAAAAATGGCATCTCCCCACCCCCTCTTTTACCTCCTCCCTACGTCCTCTTACCTGCTTCAGGATTTCCGCAGCTGTTTCATGTGAGCAATCAAATATCACGTAGAATTCCCTGCCCTTCTTCATCTCCTTGAGTAGAGGCTTGGCATCTTTATTCCCAGAGGGCAGCTGGCGGATTTTGATTTTAATGTTATATCTGGAGGGAGCTTTGATGAGCTCTTGCAGCCGAATTAGACCTGAAAAATGACATCCAATCATGCACAGGAGACTGATCTGTATTGTTTATTGCCATTTAAATTCCAGCGCATCACATTTCCCAAACGTACCAAGCGGCCACCTACCTAAAGGTTACACTATTGACTTCACATTTGTCATTCCTCTTTTTGTGGTAGATTACACTGATATTTTCCCTTTGTGGGGATATGTGTCTCAGAAGCACAATTTTCCCAAGTGCCTTTGGAATTCATTTAGAATGCCACGTTCTCTCCTGCTTCCAGCTAGCACTTCAGATAGCTAGCAAATTACCTCTATGACTAAAAACTTTTGTAAACAAAAAGTTGCTTGCAGTTTCTAGAGGAACCCCCTCGCAGATTCTCATCACACTGGAAAACTGACTTTGTACGAAAAAAATTAGTAAGTTGTTCGGTGCCTGTGGGAATTGTCCACTACAAGAAACCGATAGGGAAAACTCCAAAAGTATTTGCATGAATACAGCTGTGAAATATACTCCATGACACACCAGAGATGATACATTCATTTGTTTTTCTCTCCTTTTATTTATATAGCAGCTTAAATTTGGAAAATTTATCTACTACTATAGATAGATTTGATTCCGAACTACAATACATGTATTAATGATATGGCTTTTCCAATTCTAAGATAGGGCACGGAGGTGGGAGAGATGGTTGTAGAACCATGTTAAGGTTTAGTCTACATTATCCTCCCTCCCTTTTTTATTTTTTTGGTGACAAAAATAGAATGGTTAGAATAATAGCTTTCCTGGTCTCTTGTTCCTTCACAGATCAGTCATATGGATGAAGTCTTTTAAGTATTAATGAACCGCTTGTTCTCTTACTGTGTTACTTCATTCATTCATTTGGAGGGGAATATATTTCCAGGAAGCACAGCAGATCCCAGGCCAGTGGTATGTCCCGTTCCCAAATCCTCGGATACTGTGGTAGTTTTCCACACCTGAAACTCCTGAGGCAGTTGGGGTCTCAACTACCACTGAATGTCCCCAACTCCAGAGCTGAGGCTGCTGTGAGCAGGAGTTACTTGCTCCAGGTCATGGAGTTGATAATAATGGCAGACTCAGGGCTAACAGCCAAGATCCCTCTTGGATTCCAAACCAGGGCTCTTTTCACTAGATCAGTGATGTCACCTGCCTTTAAGATTTCAGATCAACAAATTGAATGACTGCTTCATTGATGAGGTGACTAATTATATAGAGAGATAGTTGCATAAGTAGTCAGGGAATGAAGACTTTGGGCCAGTACAAGGCATAGAGTATTTATTTAGTGCATTCATATACTCCACAGCCCCCCTCAAGAAAGTATTTGTCTATTTTCACATTTGGCTCATGAAAGACAAGTATATATTGGGACCAGAAGAGGAAAGAAAGGAGGGGAACTCAATACAAAAGATCAGTTTCTAGTTGGAATAAATTTGTCTTTATGAAAAATTCATCAACACACCTTCCTTTTCTTATGTTGCAGTATACAGGTGAAGTGGTGTCAGGTAGGAGGAGAAAGGAGCAGATTTTAAGATTGTAGGCTTGGCTTTGGGAGAACAATGAGTAAGGAGCAGTAATTTACATTTCTCTTCCTGAAGCAGTTGTGTGCTTAAGAAAACACATTCTGCCTTCATTAGCAAAAATGATGTATAACTTACAATTCAGAAGGCTTTTTTAGTACACCCAGACAACATTTAGAGAAAGCTTTCCCTTACATTTGTATTTTTGCAGCCATCCATCAATCCTTCACCTTTCATTGTAGTGAATAGTTTAAAAAGTACTTGCTAAACAAACAATTACTTCAGGAGAAGGGAAGTGATTGCCAAATAAGAACTGCCTTTCCTGGCCCTCCTCTGCGACCCCACCCTGCCAGAACTTCAGATGCAGCAAATGGTAATGGTGCATGCAACACTGGGAAATGGCATGGTTTTCTAGCCCACTGAGGTGGAGTGACTTTAAAAATGAAATGCAGATAAGGAGAAAAACCAGACAAATTCAAGTGAGCAACATTATAGAAAAAGCTGATCTCATCTTGACTTTTCAAAAATGTCAATGTCAAAAATGACAAAGAAAAGCTGAACTGTTCTGGTCCAAAGGACATGAAAGAGATTTCCCAGCTAGATGCAATCAATGATCCTAGAACAACATCTGAACCTGAAATATATATGTATGTATAGATACATATCTATGCATATCTATGCATAGATATGTGTCTATAGTTATAGATAACATGAATATATAATATGAACCTATAATTTTACATGCATCTAGATAATAATGTAGTAAAAGCTCCCATATTTGGTATTTTTGTTTGGTTATAACAATAAAATTCCTGTTTTTATGAAGTGCACCCTAACTTATTTGTGGGCCAAAAGATAATTCTACAATTTACCTTCAAATGACACAAAAGTGTTCACATTAAACATTGCTGCCGATACAATGGTTGTTTTTACATTGGGAGAATTCTAGAACAAAGAAGTGAGTCTAGTCAAATAACAACTGCTGGATATGATGACAGTGTACAGGACTTTACCATCGTACATGCCTTGCAACTTTTCTTTATGTTCAAATCTTTCTAAAAACATACACATGAAATAATATTGTGAGAGCTTCTTTTGCCTACCCACATCGCTGGGATTGCAACTGGAAATGTCCCTTTGGTCTTTTTGAAAGTGCTTTTAAGAGAAAAGCCTGTTTACTTCACATGAGTGTGAGCAAGGCCCTGCATATGGAGATAACTTTCAAAACTGTCCACATGGTCAGTTCTGAACACCTGCTTTGGCCCGGTATCTTCTCTGTGTGCTCAGATGTGACACAGAGAAGGGCTGATTTGCATATATATTGAGCCACTCAGGCAAGAGGTGAGGCAGATGGAAGAGGGGAAAAAAATCCTGCTCTTTCAGTGGTTATTTAAAATTTCCCACGCTTTTTCCTTAAGTAATAATAAACCTTGCTATTTACATAGCTCTATTTCTGTTAAATTTGATCCATGCCTTATAAATGGCTCAGTAAACCTAGAATATGCCTCTGAAGTAGATGGGTGCTGGTGCTATTTCACAGTGAGGAAAGTGAGTCACAGTGAGGTTAATTGTCTGGATCAGTCCTGAAAGGAGTCACAAACACCAGGGATTGGAAGGGACCTTAAAGGTCAAACCCTACTTGAAGCAAGATTTCCCTCTACACAGCAGCATTGAATGCATCTTAGGTTGAGAAATTTCCTCCTTTGCATTCCATTTCTTCGTAGCTCCGGTTGCATTTAATGGGTCTCAGCTCAAAGAAAAAGACCTAAGTTTTCTTGAATCTTAGTCTCACTCTCTGTTCATTAAATCACATGGGAGGGAGGCTGATACAAAATATGTCTCATAAGCCATTGGGACCCAAAGATCAGATCACACATTTTAAATGTTAATTTCTTCTTCATTTGAACTTAGAAACATGCAAGATGACATTTCCACCAACTTGTTGGTATATTAACATACCCAAATCTAATAGGATTCAGAAGGGAATCTGTGCATAAAATGTGAATTCTCATGAGAGGAGGAAAAATAATCAGAATTGAGAAATAGAAATGGGTAAGAGAGGGAATTACCCGGGGGAATACGATGCTTCTATGTGAAGTCTCCATACACATGATGTTTTACAGTTGCAACAGAAAAGGCTAGTTGAAGACAACCTCAAAGAAAATCATGTTTTGTGATTACAAAGAACCTTCTAAAGGGTCTGGCTAATACAGTGGAGATTAACCGTGTTACAATGATCTCTACCAGAACATTTGGATCCTCAACTATGGATAGTGGAAATAGAAGCTAAAAATAATATCCCTCACATAAGTACATAAAAACTAAATTCTAAAATTTGGAATAATGTTCCGGTCAGAAGATTTAAATGGACTTATGAAAGTGAGAATTCAGTTAAGAAAAAGGAAGCCAGGAACTTCTCAGGATAGAGTCACAAGGACTTTCCATCCCTGGCTATTTGAGGTGGAGTTGGGAGGGCCAAAGACAAGATTCAGCCAATGCAGTGGTTCGAACCATGCAGTGGGTAATTTATGATCACTGAACATGAAGGGATTCCCTTGTTCCTTTATTCAGCATGGACTGTGGGCAGACTAGCTTTCACTTTGGCTGGCTAACCAGGAGAAAAACACCTCCTCTCTTTAATTCCAAATTACAGGTTTCAGTCAAGACATTTGACTCAACATGTCTTTTGTTCTTTGTGGGGAAATGGAAGTAAAGGTTATAGACATTTAAAAACAAGTTAATAAGTAGGTATAGCCATAAGAGTAATACTTCACTTCCTTAGAGGGAAGGTTGAGAATAGTTGATGAGTGCATTATGCATGGCATATAGTTAGCACTCAAGAATTCTATTTACTATTTGAATACTAATTCTAATACTATTTATTGTTGTCATTTCTCTCATGGTTTCTCCCAGGGTATTTTCTTTCAATCACTGCCTTTTTTATGTATGTTAATTTTATTTCGAGTTAAACTTGCTCTAAAGCCTAAATACTATGTTAGGATAATGGTTAAAAGCTCTTTTGGTATAGACTGAATTTGGAAATCTCATAGATCTGTGATATATTAAGAAATGAATTAAAAATTATTTAAAAGCACAAAAATAATAAGCAAACAAACAAAATTTTTTATGGAACATATACTCTGAGTCTAGGACTGCAGTACCTTTCTTTCTGTAACTCCTAACTTTGGTGGACTTATCTAGTTCCACTACAAAGCTGAGGAATCTCAACTTTATATTTCCAGCCCAGACCACTTGAACAAAATCCAGACTCATATACCATCTGCCTACTCATCACTCCATTTAGATGACTATAGATAGCTGAAACTCAAACAGCATATTCATCACTAAATGCCTAGTATCCTCCTAATTCCCCCAGGTTAGTTATAACTCAAACCTTCTGTGTTAAGAAACTCCATCCTTTGGCTCATGTCAAAAACATGAAGGCTATCATCTTGGCCTCTTGTCTTTCTCTCTCTTGAAATCT